TGCTTCAGTCAGCTTCTAAGGCTTAATGGGTTGAATGGTCAACTTCTATTCTTTAAATGGTCTTAAACAGTGGTTGTTTATATTCATACATTTACTGGACAGAAATGAGCGAAGATATTTCGCAGAAGTATAATCATAAAATGGATGTTGAGTCAAAGTGAAGTTGCTTAGCAGGTTGCCTAAACGTTTGCTCAAAGATGGGTTTAAAAGGATCTCTTTAAAAATCTGTAAATGATTATTTGAAAGGACGACGGCAGAGAGACTGATTTTAGGGATGAAACTTTAGATTATGGGATCCAAGGAGTGAAAGTATTGACAAATGGTTAAACAAAGTCAAGTGGAATAAATGAGATGTCAAATTCAGAAGAACAGAGAGTGTGAGGACAAAGATAGAGGTGGTTACAGAGATAGAGAGGGGCAAGATTTGAGTTATTTAAATGCAAAGATGAGAATTTCAGATTTGGAAACTAAGGTAGGTCGGTAAGGGGTGATGGATAGGTAAACGTTCGGAATGGGATACGGAATGGGAGAAAAATGGAGGCTGTCTAGAACATTCAAACAGTCAAGATTGGAGGGGACAAAAGCTAAGGGTTTCAGCAGTAGTTAGGCAGAAACTCAAGTGGGCTGAACAACATTATGAACCTGAAAGTAGGAATTATTTCATGGACAGGATGTGGAACTAGAAGTTTAGCCTAAAATCATATAGGAAACCTTCATGGTGAACAGTTTAGTTCACCCTAAATCCATAACCTAGCAGATAGGTGAAATAAGTATAAAGTTTGTGGCTGTAATGAAAGTCAACGGTTAGAAAATGTTGTGGCTTTTTCAGCCTAACAATATAGAGTCAGGGTAAATGTTGAGAAAACTGGTGGAGATGTATGGTGGCAGATTGGTTAAAGTTGCTGAGCAGAATCTCCTGTCAAAAATGCAGTGTTCCCTTCTTTCATAAAAATGAAGGACCAGAGTGGCAATTTGTCATTCCCTGGAAAATCTGACCCAATGTTACAATGTTAAATGACATACTTTTTAAATTATTTTAATAACCTCAATAGGTGACGATACTTAGACGCATGTAGGCTGCACACATATGTGCACAGTACTTCGTAAAAACAGAATCAGTTTAGTCATTGTGACATTCTGCACACATGACTGAATGAGCCAGTAAGAAAACTGTACCTTGAGGATTCTGCTTTCTGAATGATACCATAGTTAATATTGGCCTAAATGTTCCTACAATGATAAGATCTATGAAACTTTGACCGTAAACTTAGCCAATGCAATCTTCTCTATTTGCTCCTGCATTCATAAGAATACTGAATTGCAGTAGCTATGTTCCCCCATTTATCTTACGTGTGAACTAACTGAAGAGTAATTCTGATTATTAAAATTGTCTTTTAACTCAAATTTGTAGTGTGGTACTCATCCAATGTGCTTTCTGCAACTGGCCAATGGCTTCCTAATGGGATTGGTTAACCTTTTTTCCGATTACAGCACATTATTGATGTGGGTTTGTTCAGCCTGTTGGGCCAAACTGGTTGGAATTGTTTAAGGATTATTACAAAAAAAAAATAGATCAATTAACTATAAAACATGCACAAAAACTAAGAAACCAAATGTTATTCTTTTCAAGTCTAAATATCAGCAGCTTCAATGAAGATGAGAATAAAGCAAAATCATGACTACTGCTGTTTGCAACAAGTGGCAGACCTATAGAAAGTGGTTTAACTTTATTAAACATGTCTTTCTCTACAGCAAAAGAGCAATGATAACACTAAATGTGCTCAGTGAATAGTACATGTATAAATGTTACAGAAATATCAACATGTTCATTACCTCAAGTTTATGAAATTGCAAGTTAGAGGAATGCTGACAGAATTTTATTTTCTTCCCCTAACTAGACTAAGGTTGTTTCTCAGGTTAGAACATAACATTTTAATGATGCAAATAAACCATTAGCCAAACTGCTTTTGCATTTCTCAATAACTGGCAAGTTTGGTTTGATGCAGTACTGATTTTCCAATCTGATAGCACTATCAGCCTATTTTTCTTTAATATTATACAGACTTATGGTAGTAATTAGACAAGTAATTTTTTTAATGTGAAGAGGAAAAACATGCAATGACAGAGAATTGATGCTGAAAGGAAAATGCAGTTTTGACTTCATTTGTGGGGAAATTTAATGGCACCTTAATAAATAGGGGACGTAAAGGGAGATAAAAAATCAGACATTAATCTCATCTGGCCTTTTGTGGAATTTAAAGAAGGATTTTCAATAATGACATCTCACTGTACTCAGAACCTACCACAAGACTCAAGGAGAGAGAGTAACACTATCACAAACTTGATGGCATCCATCCCATTTTAGTTTAATTTTAAAAATTTTCTCTTAAATACTGGAGTCACTGCATAATTGCAAAGACATTTGTAGCTCAGCATCAGCAGTCCTAACACGAGTGAGATGAAATCCTATGACATTTCTAAAACCAGAAAATTTTGGGGGCAGCATTATTTAAATTTTTTATTGTTTTGTGAAACATAAGTAAGCATAAGGCTTCCAGTAGGAGCTTCCTATGATGTTTTCCAAATATAGCACGCAGCCACTTTCAGTTAGTCTCAGTCTAATGCTGAGACATTTCAGATAAAAAGGTGAAAATTTGCACCGACCAACCCCACACCCCCAACTCCACCCACGTGAATTGCTGAAAGAGATTGATAAAGTTTTACAGGACAGTTTTACAGTTAGAGCTGGGACAGGTCAGAACTTTTTCTCTGGCCCTTCCAACAATGAGAGTTAGATATACCAGCAATTTTTTAAGTAAGTGGCTGTAACATCTTTGATTCCTCCGGTCACTTACTTAAAACACTGGTGGGATGTACATTTTTGCAGCGACTTGCTACAATTTAACTAGGGCAGCTGAAGGTAGTCTGAAAAATGTTACATCTCTCATTCTAACTTGTGGGTTTCTCAATGGAAAATTGATTGTTCTGTGCAGGGAAACATGTCTTTGTAAATCTGTAGCATGAACAGATCCTAGTTAACAATAATGCCTGGTTTCCTTTCCCCAGTTGTTCATGGGAAATGTCATTGCTGGCTAATCCAACTTACATTAGCATCCATAATTCCACTCAAAGTTAATGGTGAGTGATTTACTCAACTGAGGAGGTAGATACACATACACAGCTATAGTGCCATTAGGAAGGGAGTTTCAGGATGTTGATTCTGTGACAGTGAAGGACGCACAAGACATGTCCAAATCCAGAATGGTGAGTGGCTTGGAGGGAAACTTGCAGGTGGTGATGCTCCTGTGCATCTACTGTCAAGTGGAGATATTTAGATTCCCTTTGGAGATTATCAGTGCCTGGCACTTGTATGGTGGGAATGTTACTCGCCAGTACCAGCCCAAGCTTCAATGTGGGCCTGGCCTTGGTGCATACGGACGCTGCTTCAGTATCAGAGAATTGCAGTTGGTGCAGAACATTGCAATCACCAGTGAATATTCCCACTTCTGAGCTAATGATGGAGTAAAGATCATTGATGAAGCAGCTGAAGATGGCTGGCACTAAGAAATTTTGTGCAGGAGTACAGTGGATGTGGAGATGATAACAACTTTGATGGACATCATCCTATCAGTCACATCTTTTTCCACCAATTCAATATGACAAAATGTGCCTTTAAGAGGGATTTGTTCTGTTCTATTTCTCTTGAAGGGAGGTGTTGTAAACCTGATGCCGAGGAATCTGCTCCATGGAAAGCAGAGTAAGCAATTTTGTTCTTTGTTTTAAAAATTAGTCAAAAGAAACACAAGTCGGTGGAGTCAGGCTCACACAGATCCAGGTTTTATTTTTGCTTTCAGCTGAAGTTGGTGTTTTTGCGAGATACAGCTCTCTCTCTCTCTCTGTTGCTGCAAGCAGCTCGAGTTCTGTCTCTGCTGCTAGATTCATACTTTCAGTTTTTTCCTTTCTCCTGTACTGGAGAAAATTGCAAGTGACAGAAATCTGTTTCACTGGATTGCCTTTGCCAAGGGTGCGTTTATGGGATGTTGCTGTATTGGAACAGTTGTTGAGGAATAGTTAAATAGTATATTAATTTGTTTTCACTAGAGTTAAACTTATGTGAATTCTTTAATGTCTGTATTCTAACTGTACTGTCAGAATTCAATGTGTTTTGCTGAAAGCCCAGTAGTTTGACCAATCGAATCACATTTGGAACACAGAGCTGTACATATGCCTTTAAATAAGATAAATTATAGGGTCTAGACTATCTCCTTAACATGTTTTGAGAGGATTTGGTTTGTTCCATAACATCACCATGATCTTTATTACAATATGTCCATCCTCACTTCTGTTCCAGTTTAAAACCTACAAAAGGGTGGAGACTGGGTGTAACCATTTTCGTTCCAAATTCCTCTATCTGTTTAAATAGTGGGTTCATTTCCAGCTCGACCGAGTTTAAGGACTTATGTATTTGGATAGAAACTCATGCTCCGTGGTCAGTTGCAGTGTTTAAACTGAAAGACAAAAGTACCTAGAGCAATAAACAGTCATTCCATCCAGCAGCTCAATTTCACCTGCAACTTTACTCATGAATAGTTATTTAATACTGAACTTGGCTTTAAAACAGTATGGAACATAAAGGGTTAATTGCTCCTCTTAGATCTTTGTGGAGAATTAAGATTTTCTGTGTGTTTTGTGAAGGTAATATAAGCAAAGGGACTTGAATGTGAAATTCAATTCACTTTCCTTGTATTTTTTGAGAATCTAGCTGGGAATATTGTATTTTAAAGCTGAATAGTAATTTATGCAGCTTTCAAGATAGGATTAATCCTATGAGAAAACAATTTCACAAGCCTGCAAAATGCTTAAGTGTGTTACAGAAATTTTAAGTCACTTAAGTCACAATGCTATATATAATTGAACTCTTCCTTTTGTACGAAATGCATAATTCAGCAAATCATTGCCCATAGTCACTGGTTGACGAGTATGCTGATAAAAATAAGTACCTTTGAGTAGTCAAATCCATGCTTCTCCTTTACACCATTTCTATTGAGTGTGTAATTGTAAAACCGAGAATTCTTTACTAATCCAACCCACTCACGCCAACCAGGTGGAATGTAGCTGCCATTGTACTCATTCAGATACTTTCCAAAGAAAGCTGTAATACAAAGAGAGGAAATTAAATAACATCCAAATCAAAAAGCTGTGCATTTACATTGCTGAGAAACTCCCATTAACAGAGTAGCAAGCTTTCTATTGTTGATCAGTTCATTTTTTTTAAAAATAGAAATGCATTGGAGGTCATGAGTTGTTCTCAAGTTTGTTCATGTCACATGGCAACCAGCTGCTAGGTAGTGTACCAAGATGACCCACTAAAGCAGAAACTCCCTTGTAGCACCAGAAAAACCAAGAAGTAGAGTCGTATGCAGGCTCTCAATAGCCTGATTTCTGACCACCAGGTGTGAGGGAGTTGTGGGTGGGTTCTAAGCCAAGACAACAAAAGGCAGTTTTTAAAAAGAATGTTCTTTGTATTCTGATTTGTTTACAATGGATTATCTTTGGAATCCAATTTCTGTGTTTTGGGCGGTGGAGGGGTATCGAAGAGTCCCCTGTCTGGACTGAGCAGGAATGCCAATTTCCTGACAGACTGGACCCAGCGAGTGTACAAGATACACTTGCCATGCAGGCATCCATCACAGCTGAGCAAATAGAGTGCCATCCTCCAAACTTGCACACAATGGATGGGTCAGTACTGGAGGCTCCGGACAAGTATGTATTCCCAGTATGTATGCATGCTGATGAGCCATGATCCTTCAGCCTCTGTTTGATTTGCGCAGTGATGCTGTCTCCTATCTCAAAGGTAATACCATTCAGTATTTACGTAGACTGATCTATCAAAGAACAGGAATTCATGAGGCGTGAACATTAAACACCACCAAATGAAAAAGTGGGCAGTCTTCAAGTCCTGCATGTTTAATATGTACAGCCCCTGCAATGAATAATTATGATAGTTTGCGAGCAGATAATTCATCAATGACTTGTTGACATGAGACAGCTATTCTAAAATTTTCTAAGTGAGAAGATGGTCCTTCAAACTCCATTTCAGACTTGACCACGATTTCGATTGTGGTGTTATGAAGGCAGCAGTTGATCAGGTTTTTTCTACTTAAGCATGGCATTTTTATTTAAGCAAAGGTACAATGTCTTATATCTCGGAGGTACTTAACCTGGGAGAACGTTATTTTTCTGTAGCTCTCTAGATAGTTTTTAGTTTTTATTGTGGTTGATATATGAAGAGCATTTTTCAATATTTTGAAGGGTGTAGGTTACATTCTATGGTTGAATGGTAGCATGAAATACACACGTGATATCATTAACATTATCCTCCATATGAATGGAATGCTAATCCTGTTTAATGTACTAAAGTGAAAATTTCTGGCTATTGGGTAAGATGCACGCTATGGACTGTATTAACATGTAGTACGTACCAGATCTCACTCTCCTGGTTCAAATTGCAGCCTAAGTGTTTTTACGTGCATGCTAAAAATAAACTGTGGATTTTGTGAAAAAAAACTTAATTGCAAGCAGACTCTTGGTTAGAGATGGGGCCCTGACCCTAATTTCATTAAAACCTCAGGTGGTGAGTAATTTTAGAAAGTAAAGAGCCACAGAATTTTACAGCAGTGTAGAATATTGAGCCATTATTCTTGGTCTGATTTCCTGAAGGAGTTATTGATTTAGTGTCATTAATGTGAGCCCTTGTACCCATACCCATTTGGAATTTTATTTTTGAAAGATTCAATTACTTTTAAAAAGTTGTTATGGATCTTTCAGTACTTGTTGCTAGTAAGATGTTTGTGTTTTAAGAACTCTTAGCTGGAATTGTTCTGACAAGATAGCACTGCTATCTCTCAAAAAGGCAACCCTGCTTCAACACAGTGTAACACAGGAAGGCATACTGCCCATAGCACCAGCTGGGTGATTGCCACCCACTGAGGCTGCTGTCCTGAGTAAGGATGGCGATCTACTCCCAGGAGCAGTTGGTCCAATCAGTAGATCTGAAGCTTAGCAGCTCAGCAGCACCGCCACTAGTGGTGGTCATTGCTGGGACCAGACCTGTAGGATGAGGGCATATTGCATTTTTGCACTCAAAGAGGGATAAGTGGGTTTGGGGGTAGTTGGAGAGGGCTCAGTGATCAGTGTGCCTGGCAAGCTCTGCCAGTAGGCAGCACCCCCACAGTAGGAGTGGTCATTGCTGGCTGTGAATCCTCTGTGGGTCTTAGAATGCTAGAACGATGGTTCCACTTACGTGAGCCTATTGGGTAGCTGCCAGGTTTCACCAAGCGTTCTTTCCACATGGCAACCTACCAACTCCTGCTGGCAAAGTGCCTGCAGTGCTGGAACATGGCCCTTAATTGGTCATTTAGATGGCTCAATTGAGGTCCAGGTCGATGGACTTACCTGTTATTCTTCCTACCACTGCCAAAATTACACAGCAGAGGCAAGATGTTTTCCACATTATTCTTCCACATGCCTGCACCATTTTGCCATCCTGTCTCTCTCATAAGTTGTCCCCAAAGGACTGGTAAAGCTCAGCCATTACTGTAAAACTATTTCTCCTACACCTTCTCATTCTGTCAAATGAGGGTTCATACATGCCAAGTCACTAACCAGTAGAAATAATTTTACTGGAGTTCCCTAATAAAAATGCCTCAACTTTATAAACATAGAACATCCTCTTCACTTATTCTGCTCAAGTAAAAAGAGACCTAGTTTCCCCTTAATAAAAATAAAGTGAAAATACTGGAGAAACTCAATAGTGCTGTCAGCATGGCCTTTTGAAAAAGGGTATAATATTTGTAATTCCCCAATTCTCTAGCACTACTGTAGTATTTAAGGCAGATTGGAAAACGAAGGCCAATACCTCCAGAATTACGACCTTTACATCCCTCGGCACCCCCGGATGTATCCCACATTGTTTTTGGTAATTCACCCAGTTTTTAATACTTATATTAATTTCTAGATTATCCAAGCTCCTCTGCTCCCCCAAACATAGAATCCGTTATCACTATTGATTTCCAATTTTCCCCTGCACCCTGTATAACTGAACTAGCCATGATGCTGTGAATGCATCTCTGATTGCAATTTTGAGAGGAACCGTCACTTTCTCCAATCATCAAGAATTTTGATGATGCAAAACCTACAGTTGGCATATCTCGATGCTCACTTCAATGATTCACTCACTTTAACTCATTCATTTATTAATAATGCTCAGCTATCAGGACTTGGAATGTTAAATATAAGGAACAACTTTATGCTGAAGCAGAAAAAATGGTTTCAGTGAAGATAGCTTTCCATTTGTTTTTAATCACATGCTAAATAATAAGAAAAGCAGCCTCATAAAATACAACTAAAACTTCGGAGTTTTTTCAAGTGGTCATCTCTGTATACTAAAGGAAACATGATCCCTGCTATTTCAGTAATTGTCAGCCTAAGTTACTACGCATTATCTTTTAAATTCAAAGGCTTAAGAGAACCTTTAAATGTCTGTGTGATCGTAAAAGGACTAAACACTCTGATGATAAATTCTCAGTGCAAATCAAATACTCAATGCATGGACTCAAAAGAAATGTCAGCAGGGGCCCAATTAAATATAAAAGGAAGAACTGGGCATAGACTTTTAAACACAAGCTAGAACAAAGTATCAATAGGATAGCTGGTAAAAATCTATATATATTAAAGTAGCTTCAGAATTTTTTTTACTCGAATTTGAAACTATTTCAAATAAAAGCTTAATATCTAGAGTCTGTAGAAAATTACATTTTCAGCGGTATGAGGGACAATTATTTGTCCAAGAGTAATAATTGTTATTTTTCTAAAAGACTGGTATCTGTTTTAAACGTGTTTATAAAGCTAAGCAACTAAATTAGATAATAAAATACAACATCAGATATCCTGATTTTATCCAATTGCTTTGACAGGATTAAGGTTTCCCATTGTTTAGTCTCAATGTACGATGACAGCCTGATTGTTAAGAGTGATCACAATGTTAAGCATGATAACATCGTAGTATGACGTGAATCAGGCGCAAGAGCAGGTCATTCTACCCTGCTAGCCTATTCCACCATTCAAAACCATCATGGTTGGTAGGACTGTGGCAGTAACTCCCCTTTCCTGCCTACCCCCAAAACTGCTAACTTGCTTGTTAGTTACATCATACAGTATGGAATAACAATGGCGAATGAAACAAACATGGCAAGATAAGGCAACAGAAAATTTTAACTAATTTTTTTATTCCATAAACCAAGCATTTTGTTAGTCCCTAATTGAGTTTTTGAGCTGATCCAGATCTGCATAGATCTAGACTCGCTAAACTATTGGTTTTCTAAAGACTCTGAGGCTATGTCTCCACGCATTATGTACTTATTTCAAACATGGACAAAAGAGCTGAATTCCACATGACTGATTGCACTTGACATCAAGGCTGCATTTAACTGTGTGTGGCATCAAGGACCCTTAGCAAAACTGGAATCAGGAGAAAACTCTTTACTGGTTACCTAGCACAAGGAAGATAGTTGTTATCGAAGATCAGCCATCTCAGCTAAAGAACATCTCTGGAGGAGGTCCTTGGGAGAGTGTCGTTGCCCTAACCATCTTTAGTTGCTTCAGAAATTCAGATGCACTATAGAAATTCACCAAGGTTCCTTAGTCAGCACCTTTCAAAACCACAAACATGAACATCAAGAAGAACAAGGGCAGCAGATATATGGGAAGACCACCACCTGATGGTTCCTCTTCAAGCCACATATCATCCTGATTTAGAAAGATATAGTCATTCCTTCAGTGTTGCTGGGTCAAAATCCTGGAATACCTTCCCTAATGGCATTGTGGGTGTATCTACACCAAATGTTCTGGTGCAAGAAGGCAGCTCACCACCACCACCTCAAAGACGACTCGGGATAGACAGTATGTGCTGATTCAGGGGGCAACACAATCATCCCATATTTGAAACTTTAAAAAATAGCTATATGCATGCAAATCTGCAAAGAACTTTACAGGCCTTATCCCGTGTAAACAACTGTGTAAACAAAATTAAAGGAACCAAGTCAAAAAGATATTCCAAGAACAACTAGCAAATATTAAAGGTAAATCAAAACAGACTCTGAAATAAAGCTTAAATTACAGTCAAAAAATTAGTTGGCTATTTGGAACAGCTTAATAATTTACTATATTACAGTTTATAAATATTTAGGTAATTGATTTCTGGTCACTTTCATTTCTCATCATTCCTCTGTTCTGTTCTCATTTCTGTTTGTTTCTATCGTATTTACTTTTATTAAACTCTTAAAAAATATAACCCATTCCAGATCTCCATTTAACATTTGCTTATATTTTGACAATAAAGATACTACCCTAATTTTCCCAGCCATCTCTTCCTTACAGTACAAGAGAGACCCTTACACTTAGAAGGATGATTAAAATGTGGAACTCGCCAACACAGCTGTTGAAGTGAACAGTATTAATACATTTAAATGGAAACTAGTCAGACGTACGAGGGAGAAGGCAATGGAGTATTACAATGATAGATGTAGATGAGAAAAGATGTGAGGAGATTCAAGTGGAGCAAAAACGCCAGAGTGGAACGATTGGACTAACGGCCTGTTTCTGTGCTATATATGCAATGCAAGATTATTGTCCCATTATGCAGCAAGAAAGGTTTATTTACAACAGAATACCAAATCTGGTTGAAAGCCAAAAAAGTTATGTTTTTTAACCTTTTGTTTGAAATTAGCAAGGTTAGATGCTTACCACATATCTACAGGGAGAAAACTGTACTGCAACTGCTGTCTAGATATGAAATATCTGCTAAGAGTCTGAACTCATTTTAGCAACACAATAGATTTTCATGTTGTATGGTATTTACAGATTGATCTTAGTAACTAACATTCTTCAGAAAGCCTTCTGAAAGCCTGAACTAACCAAGCATCTGTGGATGATGAATGTGCCAAGCAGTTTTCTAATGCCCACTGGAAATGATAACCATTTTCTGTAATTATATTTATGAATGCTATGCTATATTATATTTACAATGTAATACCAGTAACATCTTCATATTATTTTAATGGAAAAGTTAAACTCGAAGGTGTGAATACAGCTAGGTCTGGTGTATTCTAATACTACGCAGCTAGCCTTGGGAGCTTTCAGGTCTGTCTAGAATCATTAGTCACCATCAAACCCATTCCAGGTTTTTCACTCTCTGCTTCCAGTAAGACCAGAATACACCGCCAACAGGAAATAATTTCACACACTAATTTAACTATGGCCACGTGGTATCTTTTGCCGTAGTCAGCCAGTCATAACAGCATGGAAGGAGGCCATTTGTCTAATCGAGTCTACCAACACTCTGTACCATAATCAAATTATTCCCATTCCCCTACTGCATCACTGTAAGCACTTGAAGTAAACAAACTTCAGGGCTATCAACTTTGTTTTATAATTACTCATCAAATTCACTTCCCTCATGCTTGTAGGCAGCAAATTCCGAGTCATTGCCACTTGCTGCATAAAAATGTTTCTCCTCTTGGCCACAAATTTAAATCTATGCCCCTTATCCATCTACCTTCAGATGATGGGAAACAGATTTTCTCAGTTTACATTGTCTAAGCTTATCATTTACACCTCTATCAGATCTCCCTCAGCCTCTACTGATCTTAATTGGACACGTCTAACTTCTCCAACCTAATTGAATTGCTACATTCCTTGAAATCATTCTGGTCAAATTCCTTTGCACCTTCTTGAGGGCCTTTACATCCTTCTTAAAAAAATCTAGATCCAACACTCTAATTGTGGTCAATTCAGGTCTTTAGACAGGTTTAGCATAGTCTCTTCCTTTATACTCCTCACCTCTATTTAGGAAGCCCAAGGTCTGTACGGTTTTCTAACTAGTTTCTCAAATATCTTGCCACTTTACTAAAGCTATGCACAAAACTGTCCATCTCTCTGTTCTGAAATGCTCTTTAGAACTGTCACTAAATCTGTATTGGTTCTACATATCCCTTCTGCCAAATTGCATCAACTCTGCTTCTTTGCATCAAATTCCATCTGTCCCTTGTCTATCCATTTTGCCAGCTTATCTATGCCCTTTTGCAGTCGATCAGTATCATCCTGTTTGACATGCTTCCAAATTTCATATCCTTATTTAATTTGAAACTTCAGTCCTTGAGCACCATTGTCTCCCATCTTGCAGTCTGACAAATCTTACCAACACCCGCTGATATCTGCCTATCAGCCAACTTTTGTTTTTAAAATCGAACTGACACTGACCCTCTGATCCCATGAAACTCAACGTTATTAGCCAGCCTTTTATTGGGTACATCAAGGTGTTCTAAATTCACAGAAAGCCAGTAACCATGCATTCCCTTCATCAAAAGATTCAAATATGATAGTCAAACCTGAACTGCCTTTCACAAAGGTTTCTCATATTCCTTGATTGAAAAGGTTTTAAAAAATGGAAATTGAATACATGGGACTTTACAATTGATATTCATTAATTCTGTCCCTGAATTAAGAAATGGGGGTGGGGGGAGGGGTCAGTGTGGAGGAGATGGATGTTAGAGAATGAGGGATAATGAGATTGTTTGCAAATAAATCTTACAATATGTATGGGACAGGCCAACACTTGTCCTATTGGACTGCATTTTAATCAACCTTTTCATATTGGACTGGGAGGTGGGTGGAAAACAGCATCAGGAGTGAAACCAGACAGGTTCCCACAACCGTAGAATAATATTAAAGGCAGGAATGGTGGTAAGCTTAGCCATCCACTGACTGGACAAGGGCACCTACAGAGTCCTATTAAATGTCCCATTAGCAGGATAGTTTCATAGATTCCCTACAGTGAGGAAACAGGCTCTTCAGCCCAACTAGGCCACACCAACCCTCGGAGCATCCCATCCAGACCCACCCCCCAATAACCCACTTTAATCTACACATCCCTGAACACTATGGGTAATTTCCCATGGCCAATCCACCTAGCCTGCACATCTTTGGACTGTGGGAGGAAAGCGGAGCACCTGGAGGAAACCCACGCAGACACGGGGAGAATGTGCAAACCCCACACAGACAGTCGCCCGAGGGTGGAATTGAACCCAGGTCCCTGGCACTGTGAGGCAGCAATGCCAACCGCTGAGCCACCGTGCCACTTAAATAGATGGCAGGAATTTTACAAGCCTCAAATTGGCACCCAACCCAACATGGTTTGTCCACCAGCTATATCCGGGTGGCCTCCCCAGCGGGTTCTACTTTCATGAGACTCCACAGAACAAGCATAGGACCCTTGTGGAAATGACTGCCCCACAGTGCCAAAGGCACCACTACAGATTTCTGTTGATAGTGCTGATGCCTAGATGCCTAGGCTGGAGAATTTTTTTAGCCCATCCTTTGAGAGTAGCTCCACATCAAGATGCTCTCTCCTTGCATCTGCTTCTCTATTGACAGTGCTGCTGAGTTGCTGGTCCTCTGAGTCAACCAGCTACTGGGAGAGATAGATCATGTTGTTAATTGGAAACCAATCCCAGTGGAAGGTCTCTTAATTAATCCTACTACAGTGGAACTGAAGCCACTTTGGCCTGAACAACAGGACCAACAGCATGCAAATAAGATTTTAGCATGATTATAGGATCACTGTGAAAATTGTCTACTTGAAATTGACATACATGGTGTTCTCATTTTCAAACGATTACGTTTTAACTAGACTGGAAAAGTATTAGAATTTCTTTCAGCTTTAGAAGATTTTATACTTCTAAATAAAGAATTGTAATCTGTGGTTATTTAATAAAGATCTGTTAGTGAAGCTAGATCAAATCTGCAGATGGTTCTAAAATCTCGATTATTATCTGGCTCAATGTATAGTTACAACTAGTTATAGAGAACAAAACCACATTAAATAGCTTAACATTCAGTCTAACTTGCGTGGATTTATGAGAGTTTATAGTTGAAATTACAGTTTGGATGGTTATTTGGTAAATTACACCTATACCATTATAATAATCCATTGTCATCCCTACTTCCATGTTCTTTAGACATGTCTTTCAACCAATAATAAATAGATAAAACTTTCAGCTTAGCAACTTTTGGAATTTTTATTCATTTAAATGATACATTTCCTAGATGTGGGTCATTTATTTGCTTACATTGTTAATTAGAACATTCCATAAACACTACTTAATTTTCTACATTCTTTTGTTCTTCTATTGAAATTTTACCACAGTTAAAATATTTCCATGTCACAATTTCATTTTATATAAAGAGGGCTTTTCTCCACAAAGTATTCAGATTCTTTAAGATTTATCACTAATATCATAAAAAGGGTTGTAATTTCTTTCAGTAACATACCTGTCCTATAACCAGTACTGTTCAGATACACAGCAAATGTCTGTTGTTCATGTGTGGCCTGCCAGGAGGAAGATGAACAGTTCTCATTGTTTGTGTAGGTATTGTGGTTGTGGACATATTTCCCTGTCAGCATGGATGATCTTGAAGGGCAGCACATGGGTGTTGTCACAAATGCATTTGTGAAGTGGGCTCCTCCTTGCTCCATTATCTTCCTGGTCTTGTTCATTACTTCCAAAGATCCTGAGAAGTATAAAAATTGATATTGTAATTACTCAGAATTAATCTTCTCAAATATAAAGCTTCGCAGGTCGGTGACATATTTCTGATGAGTAATTTTGACTTGGGGTAGTACTGTAAAATGTTATATTTGCAAGAGATGGAAAAGAAAATGAAAATTGGAAGTGATTCATAAAATGCATGGCTGAATCATTAAAGCTAGCTTTACATTCTCATCCAATGTCAAAATTAAACACCCCCACCCCCACCTTGTATAACTCTGGATAACACTTTTATAGAATTTGACACTATCAAGGGAGCAACTATGATTTGACTTGGGTCTCAAGTCATGTCTGCAACTCCACCTCTAACACTAAAATGGAACTTCCAAGTCTTCAAATTACTGGGCCAAAATTAGAATTGCAGATTACCCCTTGGATTCAGAGAAGTACCAGAGCCCATTAATCTGTTCTATATTTTCCTTTATGTTATTCTATAATTGTATGTTCTTGACTGCAATTTGCAATTCCTGGATGATATTGTCTGGACATTGTTTTAGGGGAGCTAGGTTGCCCACTGCACTTGGAACACAGGCCTCAGTGAAGTGTTTCTAGTCTGCCTGCCATCGAGGTCCAGGTTGGGTGGCTAGGGAGGTGATAGCTCAGCTTTTAAGTTTTGGTTCTCAATGCTTCCTTCAATCTTTCCAATTTCACATGTCTTTGGGCACTTTCTCCTCTTGACTCAGCCATAACACTCTCATCATCCAACATCCTAGCACTGTCAGTCAAATTTCCAAAGGCTCTGCAAATATTATTAATCCATTTAAAAGTACTGTAGTTTTCGTGTACCATTTACTTTTGCTTTCACTATGTCAATGTACACACGAATATTAGAACATGATAATATTCAAACTAAGTGCTATGGAATTGGAAGAAGAATGTCATGCCAGGTGTCTAACTGCCTCTGACTTTACATAAATAAAAAATAATTAGCATTTTAAAAAAAACTCCTGCATGTTTTCATTCCCATTCTCCTTACTCCAACACACCTCTCCATTTTCACCTTCTGCCTCCTCCATGCCATCTGCTCACCACCCTCTAATCTTTTATCACCTAAAAATGACATCATTAAAAATCAACATCATTAAAGATAGCAAGATCATAAAGACTAAGCAATGCCAGCTTTTACTCTCACTTCGTCATAATTATGCCACATCTCATGGTATATACAATTATCTCCATTGTTGTCCAAGTGGCATAAGCCCAATGGCTTTCCAAACTTTCTCTCATTTGTCTCCTCAGTAAAGCAATGGATAACTTTATCATTACAGCTTTTGTTAAATAATTATAGGCAAGCAAATGCTAGTCAAATATATTGTAGTGATTAGGCAAAATAAAAGTCATAGAATTTACAGTACAGGAAGCCATTTGACCCATCATGTCTGTGCCAACTCTAGAAAGAGCTACCCAGTTAGTCCCACTCTTCAGCCCTATCTTCATAGCCCTTTAAATTCACTTGCAAAGTGTTAATTTCTTTCAAAAATCTTTCTAATGAGTGAATGAAAATCATTTAAAATACAAGAAACAATGTTCCGAAAAGAAAAAAAAATCTACTCCTAAAGCAAACACTTTGTAACTACTAACCTAACCAAGGCAAACAGCCAGGATTTCTGTACTTTGGGTAGGGCAAGTCAGCAAGCACCAAATCTATCTAAACTTGAACAGGGATTTTGGTCCACTTAGCCAACCGAGATGATCAGTCCTCAAGCCAGAATATATGCATATTAAAAAAACCACTTTGTAATAGCATTTGGAAAAGACACGCATGTCACCACAACTTCTCACTCACAGCCTGGTGAAGGATTCAATAGTGAACCATGAACAATCTCAACTACATTGTCTGCTTATTGACCAATTAAACCCCGGTGGCCTTTGCACTATGTCTACTCAACAATAAGTAGACTGTGTTGTTTAGGACGCAAAGATCCATTTTTACAAAGGAATAATTCATCATTCATTATATGCTGTAACCTATGTTTTTATAAAGAGTCAGCTGTCGCTTAGTTGATACTACTTTTGCCTTTGAACAATACATCTCCAGGTTCAAGTTCTTCTCCTGGTTTGAGCACACAAATATCAAACCACACATGCCAGTGAAGATAACTGTACACTGTTCAAGGTGCTGCCTTTTGACTGAGACATGAAACCGAAGTCCCATTCACCTACTGGATTAGATGAAAACTAAGCCAGGGCACTACTTTAAAGAGAAGCCCGGAGCTATCCCTGGTGTCCAAAAACTGTCCTTCAATCAATATCATGAAATTACCTGGTCATTATCACATATTGACCACATTCATTAACATTAGTGAAACACAAAAATGTTTGTCTAAACCAAAGTAGCAAAAGCAAAACAAACAGAAAATTGCATGACTATAGAATGGTATAGCAGTGTACAGCAGAACTCTAGATATTACTTCTGCCAAATTTGAAGCAATTTTCAGCTGTCAGGTGCTTCTGATCTACACTTCTGACCTGACATGTTGAACAGAGAAGCACTTTCTATTTTGTAAAGCACACTGAATAAACAATAGGTAATCTACCAAATGACATATACCACTGTTTACGTACAAGCACATCCAAAGCATTCCTGAGGGAATACAAGGCCTGATTTGAACTCATACAGAACCTAATCATTTCCAGAGTTAATATCACTGAGTAGAATAAGATTTTGTAACAGATGCAGGCCATTTAGCCCAGAGTCTGTTCCACCATTGAATGAGATCATGACTGATCCGATAATCATCAATTCCACTTTCCTACCTTTTCTCCATAAACCGTGATTACCGCACTGATTTACCGCGTATTTCAGCCTTGAATATACTTAATAATCCAGATATGCTAGCTCTCTGTGGCAAAGAATTCCAGCCTCTAAAAGAAAAATTCCTCCTCAACTCTGTCTTAAATGGATGGCCACTTATTCTGAGATTATGCCCTCTTGTCCTAGACTCGCTCACAAGGCGAGACAACTGTTCCACATCTATCCTGTCAAGACACATAAGAACCCTGTATGTTTCAAGAAGGTCACCTCTCATTTTCCTAAATTCCAATAAGTACAGTCCTAACCTACTCAGCCCCTGTCCTAAGAGAGAGATTCTTTAAACCCGGGATCATTCTTGTAAACGTCTTTTGGACCCCCTTCAATGCCAGCACATCCTTCCTTAGATACAAGGCCCATAACTGCTCACAATATTCCAAATGCTGTCTGACCAGAGGCTTATACTACTGAGGCTGTACATCTTTGCTGTTGTATTCTAGCCCTTTTGAAATTAATGCTAACATTGCATTTGCCTTCCTAACTGCCAAATGAACCTGCACGTTAATCTTAACAGAATCCTGAACTAGAACTGCCAAGTCCCTTTGTGCTTCAGATTTCAAAAGCCTTTCCCCATTTAGAAATTAGTCTATGCTTCTATTCTTCCTACCAAAGTGCATAACCTCACACTTAACTGTGGCATAGAGGTTTGAATGTGGCAAAGAAAACTGCACTGAAAAAACCTTTCCAGCATCAGAAAATAGATTCTGATTATTCTTGGGATCAAAGGTCAGACAGATCACCAGTTAAGCTAAGAATCTAAAAGATGTCAACCCCAATTGACTCAAGAAAGTTAAATAATTACATATTTTGACTTAAAGGATTGCACAAAGTTACACACTGCTGCATTTAAGTCGGCAAATAACATGCTTGCATTATTATAGGGTTCAATACTCTTACAATGCTCTATTTTTTATATTGGAATATCCCTTGCTTGCTGAAAGTTTGTACAGAATACATCATGCAAAAATAAATAGTCAAATATTCAGAAAGACACTGGACACTAAAAGAAACTAGCTATTAATTTTAAATGGAACAAACTCGAGTTACGAAGAGAAAGAGGGAGCTTTGTTTCTCTCCCATAGGTATTTCTCATTTCTCAAAAAAATTTCCTAAGCATTTCCATTTAATAAGTTGTTTTGAACACAGCAATTATTATTGTGCAGAAAAACTTTATAGCCAATTTAAGCAGAACATCATCCAATAAAAGTCATAATGAGATGAATAACAGGTTAATTTGCTTTTTGCTGTTGTAAATGTGGACTAAGTGCCTGGGAGATCCCAATCCTCTGAGTAGTGCCAAAGGGTTTTTAATATCATCCAGTACTCCCAGAATTGGTTTAATCTGTCATCTGAAGGACAGCAGCTGACAGTAGAACCTTAGAGATTGAGCCTTGATCATGCACTCAAGTCCTGGGGACTGGGTTATTTGCTTTAATCTTCACTGACAGGAACTACTCACCATGCCTTTCTCATAGTAAATTGTATTGAAGAAGGTACATTTTGTACAGCATAGAACCCATTGATGGTTTTAGAATACAAGTTATGGAATAAAGGCCATTGATCTTTCATATACAATCACAGTAATGCAGCACCAAAAACCATGTGTAAATTTATCACGTTTAATAATTGAAGCTATCTTGAGAATTTCTCATTTGAATTACTCTGTATTTGCTCTTGAGAATAGAAGAAATACTACACTGGGCTCTTAAAAGTTGGCTAAGCTAATAAAGATAGTATGTTCATAAGTATTTTCTTTCATTAAATCTTTAATGCTTCCTCATAACCATGTTGGATCATCAGTGGGGAGGGCACAGCTCTGTGGAAGCTGTTCAACTGCAATCAGGCCCAAGTTTGAGCACTTCTCTATGTATTACAACCATGCTAGTTGAGTGTGGATGTTTGGATAGAAATGCAATCATGTACAAATGTCTGTCGTAGTCTGCCTTTGACACAATCTCTATCTTGAGGCAGACATTTTAAGCTTCACTTCACTGAAGTCCTGGGGTTGAACACATTAAAAAGCACAGCTGCGGAGCTAGGAGCTGCCACTAAAAACTGTTGAGTATCTCAGTGAAAACATGAAGATAGAATGGCTGCAGCTTTTCCCCTACTAATTCCTGCTGGGAACTCTTCTAAAAACAATGACAGAT